TGTGTTAACCATTACTGCTCTGCTTCATTAGGTTGAAATTCCCAGCTTCTGCATGCCTGTCTTTATTTAACCTTTGCCTTAACATTTAATTTAAGGCATCTGACTTTATTTAAAAACGATGACAAAGTCATAATTGCATAATTACAAGCGTACTGCTTCCTAACTACTAGTCAGTTTTCTATTTTTTTCCTTGAATGAAAACATTTAGATCCAAACAGACAAGTGCAGCCAGTGAGTGGTTGCTCGGTGTCTTGCTGTCTCTGCATCATTTCCAGAATCTCAAAAGTGCATTTATGCTGCACCAAGATAGGTGGTAGATTTATTCAGCTGAGAGCTGTGGATGTTTATCTGCTTAATTGAACCATCATTAGTTGACATGAGCAGAATCATGTGACATCCCTTAATGTGGCTCTCAGAAACAGCAGGAGGCCAGATTTCTGTTCATCTAGTAAATAGGCACTGCCAGTGAAAAGCTGTATAGAATTTCAAAACATTACAGGTTAGTGCACAGTGGGGGATGAGGATCACAGAAGGCAAGGTCTGCTAACAAACACTGTAGCTCTCTTGTGAAGGGCTGAGCTGGAAGTGCTCTGGTCTCCAGCCTTCGGCTTCCTGTTTGTTACTATAAATACCTTCACGTGATCAGACTGTCCCTGTGTTTGATCTTTGTAATCTTGTTGTTTGGTTAAGATCGCTCTGTGAAGTAGCACCAAAAAGTGTGAATAATTGTGTTCTTCAGCTGGGGTAAGAAAAGAAAAAAGGGTGGGTTTAATGTTCAGTCCCTCAAGGGCACCTTTGCATATGTGAGATTTCAGATGAGTTTTGAAAATAATTAAAAAAAAAACACTCCAGTTTTGGAATCAGTATTGATTTAGATAGAAATTGGGCAGTCAGGGTTTCTGTCCTTGGAAGCTTCTGGAAAGTCACTGCTGTTAACCGTGTCTCTTGTGCTAGTTAAACTGTTCCTGGAATAAACAATTGGAACACAAGTAGTCAATCTTTCCGTGACCGCAGCGATTTCACAATATGAAATACCTCTTTTGCTAGGCCTCACCTCTGCCACTGGCTCTAGGTGAGATCAGGTGTGTGTGGTGGATTTCCAGAGTCTGTAGTCTGCCGCTGTCACCAGCTGCCTCCAGCTGCCTCTCTGCTCACCTGTGCCCTGCGCATCTGTATCCATAGTGAACACGTGCGCTCCGTTTCTCGGCGGGCCGTGCGTTAGTTTTCAGGTGCGGGGCTACGGACTCCCGAGAAGGGGATTGGTTCAGCACTAAGACCACAAACGGACGGAGAGGGAAGAGGGTGCACCACTGTGCGTCCTGGCATCTCTCTGTGTAGCGGAATCTTTGTCCTGCCGGAGGCGGGAGGTGTGGGTGGAAGAGTGAGTAACTTTTGACAAGCTGCGAACCTGGGAGTGAAGTACTTGTATTTTCCATTGTGGGGTATCGAGAGTAGCTGCAGTACAGAAGTAGTCATCATGGTTGTAGCCTGTCACCCGAGCTATATTTTTAGTTTTCTGCGTGTACTTGGGGAAAGAGACAAGACGTTGGCTGGAAAAATATCTCTTATGACAGATGAGCTTGTAAAATACGCCAGTAACCTCACTGGTGGGATCGTTATGTGCGATTACTCCAGGACACATTGGCTTACCAGAATTTAAAACTTCAATGTGGTGTCATATTTTTTCTTATTTGTTCATAGATTGACATGTGCAAAATGTCTGAGAACGGAGATTTTTTTTTTCTAAAAAAAAAATGGGGGGAAAAATGTGAAGTTTACTGTTCACATTTTCACTCCGTCCCAATCTGAAAAGTAAACTTTAATTTGGTCTCAGTTTTCAGGTAGGCGGTAGTGTGGAGGAATGGGTAGGGGCCCTAGCCCTTTGTCCTGCACTGGAAGGTCGGAAGTTCAAATCACAGGTGGACACAGCTGTTGAAATTATGAACTGGGTACCTCACCCGAACTGGCTCAGTGAAGTGCCCTGGGATATAAATGGGCAAAAAAAAGTATTTTTTTTTTAATCCAACACAACTAGTCATACGAATTGAGTGTCGGTAAAAACACTCCCACATCACACTGCACGTGCAGTATGAGGGGCGCTTCTCTGAACGTGTGGGTCAGGTGCAGTAGGCCTCTGTCTGTCGTTATGTTTCAGCGCAGTCCAGGAGCCTGGGTATCACATGGCTAGAGTTTTGTGACGCCACGCAGCGAGTTCTGTTGAGTCTGTCCCCGGAGCCCAGTGTGGCACAAGTTACCGCGAGCTCAGAGGTTTTCAGGTGTAAGCAGGTCCATGCATCTCTGGGAAGATTTGATCCTTTCATCATTAACAAAGTTGTCCGTGCTAGATTTCTATTACAGTTATTAATTTCTGTTAAAGACAGTTTTCTATCACTCATTTCCACAACTAAAGCCTTTTCATTTAAAAAAAAAACAGCTGTACTTATACTGGAATGCAGTTGTATTTTTGATGTTCATGTGTTGCCTATTAAATAATCTTCTGTTGTCTGAGAAATCCACACACACATGGCTTTAGATCCAGCGCACAGCCCAGGGAGCACAGAGAGGAGAGGGAGCGCAGGAATTCTGTGCCATAGTCAAAAACCCAAGTGGTCCAACTCCAGAGAGACGTGGACTCCCTTTGGCCTGGACTTAGACTAAAAGGGCCATTTCCCCTGTGGCTTACACAGCACACTCCTGCCTGCCATAGTTATCAGCCACTGAAGCCGGTTGCTGCTATTGCCGATACGCTTGAGAGGGTAGTGCCAGATTCTGTTGTGCCAAAGCAATGTCCTGTGAAAGTTGAAGCAGTACTGTCGCTTAATATTATTTCATAAGTATGTGCTTCCATATGACTGAGGCTGCACAAGAAGATTCGAAAGAGTTTTGTGCCATAACCTAACAAGAAAGACCAATCAAAACAATCACTTCAGTCTGCTCTGACACAGCCCCTGGCTTACGATTGTCAAGGAATGTAAACTGACTCATCTTGTACTCACGTACAAGAAGGGCAACCATTCCTCGCAGCTAAAGATAAAAAAAAACAATTAAAAATCACTTTTCTTTATTCTGTTTTTCCTCTGCATGAATGATTTGATTTTCTCCAGATGAAACTGCAGTTAAATAATGCCAGGCAGTAAATGTTGTGATTTAATGAGTTTTAAATAAAACCTATTTCACCAGTTCTTTTTTTTTTGCCATTATGGCTGTTCTGTTGTATTTAAATCAATTGATTTCAGAGATGATTTTGTCCTGGATGTAAAGATAAATCCATTTACTTTTTTTCTCTGAGCAAATTAAGAGCCACGAATGCTACTAATAAGCATGTTTATCTTTAGTACCAGGCTTACATTTGTTGAATGCAGTTGCTGGCATCTACTCTGCTCCAGATCCCTTCCATGAATATTCAAGTCATTTTGTGTTGGAGGATGTAGCTGGATCAAGGTTGCAGACATAATTGCATGCTGAATGTTAATATAGATTTAACAGGCACAGCTGTTAGCTGCAAAGACATTAGGCTCTCATACTAGGTATTATCTGGTATCATTTGCCAGAAGGATTTGTTCCCCATATTAAAGAACGCACGCCTCAGAAAGAGATTGTTTGCAGCAGAAATGGCAGATTTATAGACCAAAATGTTTTCTTAAGAATTGGCAGCATAAAAATGCCATTTGGTTTGCTTGGGATGTTAGGTCATCCTGAGACATTGTGATGTTTTTCAGGTTCATGTCTTTTATAACAAGACTGATGTGTATAATGTAGGTATAACACAGTTATTTGTTATATACAAAATATTTTTTTCTGTGTGTTCAATTTTGTTCTTTGTGTGTAGATTTTGAAGAGAATGTGTGAAGCTGTTTCCTTTACAGGAACATTTTTCTCTAAGCCAATATTCATTTCAGACGGCCGCTTTTGTTGATTTTCGAGTGCATGGAAGTCTGCAGACCTGCCACTGATTTAAAAAAGTCACTCTTCTTCTCTCTGGTTTAATTATCCAGCAGAGAACTCATAGAAGTGGGCTCCATGTGATAAGCCTTTCATGCCCATGATGTCTTTGCCGAAACAATTACATTTTTTTCATTAATCTCAATTAAAATGACACCTTCACAAGTGTTTGATATCCATACTGGAGACCCATGTTCCAGTTATCTGAATTAGCTGGAGGTCTCCAGTCAATTTTATTTGCAATTCATCCTGCTGCTTTCCATCGCTTTTTCAGGAAGCAATACTTTTTGCTGGAAAAAGTATTAGTGCAGCCATTGCTGTTGGTTTTTTTGTTCACTGTTCTTATCTTTCAATTTCAGGAAGTACTTTAAATTTACGGTTTGCTTTGAAGGCATCAGGCAAGTTGAGCCCCATAAGTCTTTCCTGTTACGGCATTAATCTAAATCCATGAAGCTAGAAGACTAGATTTCTCATCTGTAAAGGAGATAGCGTCTGGAAAAGCAAAACACTACTCTCGGTTATCATGATTAAGCTGCTTAGTTTTGACACCAAAGTGTTTATGACTCCCAGCAGCGGAAAGATTTCCTTTTTTCCACTGAAAACATTATTAATGAATTCATACACCTCTTCTGCTATGAGAACAATCAGAGGTTGCTTAAGGATTCTGTCTTGCTCTTTCAAGAGCTCATCTTGGTGTTTCGTTTAGCTGTGTAGTGTGCAGTTCAGCTCTCTGGAGTAACTGGAATCCAGCTCAGAGCATCTCTGTGCTGCTGAGAGCAGATAATGTACATCAAGGTTAATCAAGATGTGAGTGCACAATAAAAAAGACAACTGTAATCTTCACAATACGGAAAGCAGTTAAGGCAGTTCAGTTCATAAATGTTGTAACTGCAAGTGTGCACTTCAGAGGCTTTAACTGTTAAAGCAAGGTTTCTGCTTTTTTCCCTTCTAGGTTATCCTTCAGCTTACAGAGATAAATGCACAATAATAATTCTAGCATTTTTCCAAAAGGATCTCGGAATGCTTTACATATTGAGAACTGGCTTATTTCTCCGCAGGACTCATTCTGTGCCAGCGGCCCCACAGCACAGCAGATCCAGTCGGTAGAGGAGTGAGACATCGCTTCCCCAGTGGAATTAAGAGGGAACTTTAAGGAAGTTAGATTGTTCAAACCCAGAGGGAAATTTAGCAAGGACACTTGGGTTAACACCTCTGTTTCATTACACTTCTTCTACTTCAGCCTTTGTCTCATTAATATTGTTTCTCCCAGTCACCGTACTGAGAAATATTTAGAAATAATGCCCACTACTCTTGCAGTACACTCTGGAACATCCTTGTTTTCCTATGACCTCTCCCATCCCAGTGTTGACCAGACGCAGCCTTCCTGAGCTTCTGAGATCTTACAAGGCAGGGCTGTGAGGTAGTAACCAACGAAGCTCTATAGTTGGTGACATGACAATTGTGGGTTATGACTTGTGCACAATGCAATACAGCATGATCTCATCAGTGTGTGCCTTTGTCAAGAATTAGATTTCCCACCCCCTGAGATTTTCGGTTAGGATTAATAATCATTAAGCCAAGCAAGAATAACAGTAAATCATGATAAAATCCATCATGTCTTGACCTACTTATGACTGCTTTATCTTGTCTAGCTGCATTGGTGCTGACAAGGCTGTGCTGAGTTTCTATCATGTGTTTCCTGTGACTGATTGGTCTCTGCGGTTTGTCCTCAGACGGGGCTCAAGTGGTACTCCAGAAGGCAATGTAGCGAATGGGTTTCATTGACTGTTAAAGCAGCCCTACTACCTGGAACCAAATCCACCAGGGTGGGCTAAGTAAAAAGAATGCTGTGTATTTTTTTTTGCAGTCTTTACAATACATAGGTTCTAAAGAATGTTTCACTACAAGATGTTGTATTGTGGTACAATATGCACCTGCTGGGCATTAGTGAAACAGGGCATAACATTGTGGCATGTCGCTGAAGTGAAGCCCCTTCACTTATTTTAGCATGCTGACTGTTTTTAATCTTTCCCGTTCTTTCTTTTGAAAATATTTGCGATTGTTTGCAGAATCTCAACATTTGCCGGGACTGAAACCTGAAAATGTACATTGGCCATGAAAACGAGTGTAACGAGTGTAACTCTGTAGCGAGTTTTCATTGTAATAGTCTTGTAATCGACCTGATTTTGCACAACTTGAAAGACTGACACGTAAGAAGTTAAATCTTATTTCTGATTAACCAGAGCAATAGAATGTTTATCCTGTAGTTTCTAGTGAATTTGGATTAGGATAATATGCCGGTGTGTGTTTTTATGGTCATCGGCTCAGTCTCTCACTGTGATTCAGTTGGGAAATCTGGGAATCTCCAGTACTGCCGTGGATATTGCTGGGGAGCATATTTGCAAGGGAAGGCAATGTTTTTTCTTGTTGTGTTATTATTATATCTTTGTTCTAGAAAATTGAATTCCAGTTCCCTTCATGTTGGAGTGTGTAAAGTTGTGAAGCTCATAGCGGATGTAAGGGGTGTACGACTGTAGTGCGATGAAACAGTTCACTGGCTATGACCCAGGCCAGGTCCTGGCTGATCTGAGCAGAAGCACGCCCAGAGTCGCCAGGCTCAGCACTTACGCCTTGCGCTTTACAGTGGGTCTCTCCACTGGGGCCAAACCACTCAAACGCCAAACCTGACAGCAGAGTGTAAGACATTATGGCTGGCATGGGTCATGCTGGAAGAGTGATGTAGAGGAAGCTTCCTTGTAACATTACTGTCAATGTAAAATAGAGTCACATCAGAGGTGTTTTTTACAGATTGAAGTGTCTTTTCTCTGTTTTCAGAGAAATCATGCCTTGTCACTGGCATGTTACTGGGATGCCTAAGGAAGGATTGCTTACCTGCTCTTGCACACTAGTAATCAAGCTTGCAGGTGGTGTCTCTTCAGTCAGGTGCAGCATATGAAACCCAGCTGCTCTCCTGTTCTTTCTATGGTTATCAAACCATCATTAAGTGGCGAAGGGAAACTGTAGCGTACATGAGCTAAACATCAGCATTTTTTCATGAGATGACTATCTCGGAGGATTAAAGACACAGGTCAGTTGGCCCTTATGAATTGAAGTGTACTTTATTAGTCAGCTCTGGGCAGATTTGGCAGACTGCATTCACTTCCTCTCCAGCAGCAACCATTAACCCTTAATAATTAGTCACCTATGCTCTTAGCAAACATTTGTCACCAGGCATGATTTTTTTATTGGGTCATCTGTGAATTATGGTTGGCCATGACTGGACAGTGGTTTTGCCCCGGAGGTCCTTTAGAGTGTGCGCTCTGAGAAAATTGTGCCCCCTGCATAAACACGACTGAACGCACTGCTACTTCGGCCTGCCGTGTATCCAGCACTGCCCGGGTTTGTTTTTAAGGGCCTTTTTGGTGACTGAGGGGTTTGAACGAAATGAAGTCCGTCTGCAGAGTAGGGCTGGGAGCGAGTGAATTAGCATTGCAGTCACCATGAAATTATTTAGAATTGCAGGCTGTCAGCTGAAGTTATGACTTACAACAGTTAACAGCGCCTGAAGCTGCAGGTTGATGAGCAGTTGACAGTGGAAATCACTTCTGTGACTGGAGGGCTGAATTAAACCACTGCCTCAAACGGAAAGCCTCCAGGCCGTATCTGAAGAGCACGAAGCGCGTGCCTTTGCATTTCATCTTTACCAATTAAAGCTTCCCACTTCTTTGGAAAGAACTATATTTACATCACAGGGCTTATTCTCTAATTAATACACCTAGCACCAAAACATCATCCGCGAAAGGCCTATTCAGAGCCATTGTAAATGAATCATCAACAGGTATATTTTGTATATTTTGATTTAAAAAAAGTGATCTAATGAATTAGGGGAGAATTAAGTGGAAGATCTGGTTGTTTCCTCTTAGAGATTTTAAGACCGTGATATCCCGACCCATTCTGATATACGTTTCAGTAAAAAAGAATGAAGAGCTACACATCTCAGTTTTCATTCCTATGTAGCTTTGTCCTGGTCAGAAATTACTGAAATGTGCTCAGGCTTCTTCTAGTTTTCAAATAGCAGGTCAGTAACTCGCTACTGCAAGACTTATCTGTACCATTTCTCTTCAAGAAAATGACGCTGATTAGTCTTTAGTGCCTCAGGCAGCTGTGCATAGCTCTGGTGTAACATTGTCACCTCACTGTTGCTCGTTTGCAGGTGTAGGAATTGATCGGCTGTTCTGTTCCGCGTCACTCAACGCAATGTGTGTTGACAGCTCAGTGGCCTGGTCGGTAGAGAGCACAGGCAAGTTGGAGACACTGAATTTGCGAGAGCTGCCACAAGTGGCGTGACTTGAAACGCTTGACCTGTACAGTGACTGTTTGAGGTTCAGCGGGCAGTTTGCTCTGATTGATAGGGTGACTTACTCCAAGCGCTGAGAAGACAAGCGGCATTTTCTTGAGCCGTGATAGCTGTGGCTTGTCTATTTCTGAGCTTGAAGCCGTACTGCGGTATAGTCCTATATCTCATTTCCAAGTTTATTTCTGAATGTCTTGTCTTGAATGCGAACCACAACACTGCTGCTTCTTCACAAAGGTTGGGCGTGATCTCACTTTGGCAATGAGCTTGCCAGAACTCCCCCGGCCTCGTTGTCTTCTCCGCGGCTTTAAGGGGAAGCAGTCCTTACATGAGAAAAGGCACCGCTGGCTTGGCTGTAACAAAACCAATTATGACGCCAAAGGGTTGTTGTTCTCCTGTGAACTTTGACACTCTAGCAATACTCTTCAGGAGCATTGAAGTTAAGATAAGTCTATCAGCTCTCCATAAAAAGCGCTGATTTGCTCTATATGTGAAGCTCCCGGGTCGAGCGCCACGCTTGTCCTACCCTTGCGCCGATCTGCTGTTGCCTTTTGAATGAGGGAAGGTTGCTCTGCTCCCTGCTCATGAGATAAGGCCAAGTGCCTCTGAGGATTACACTGGCTAAGCTCTTATCGCTCTGGGAAATTCACTGCCTGCTTTAAAAAGTGCTAGGAGTAGAAAATCAAGAGAAAATATCATTCTTTTAAGTGCACTTATTCCTGCGGAAAGTCTTTATTGGATTGAGTGTCTTTTTTTTAGCATACCAGACGTGCACGTGCTGATGTCCCTGGAGCGGGTGGTGTTTCGACGTGATACTCTTGAATTAAAGGTGCTCCTGAAGGGGGCAAGGTGGAGAGTTTATTATAGAGCCCGAAAGGAACAGAGGGGCTGTTCGTTGTTTTAAAGGGAGCCCGTCTTTCTCCACCCACAGCTTTCCATTCCTGTCTAAAGAGAACCCCACTTAAAAACTGCTTCTTTAGAAAGCAACAATAATAACGATGTTTATATGCTATTAGTGATTCCATCAAGTATGAATAGCAGGTTAAAGTCTTGACAAAATACTCCATTGAAGTGGCCTCTGGAACTATTGAAGTGATCAGGGGCTTCAAGCCCCTCTTTTGTGAAAGCACCCAGCCCCTTGAGCTCTTTCGGGACTTTCAGAGTCTCAGACAGTTCACCCTTCTTCTGGTGCCTGTGGGGTCTGACTGACCCACATGTTCAGAATTGTGTTGGGTAGCAGAAGGCAGTGCCATAGTTCACCCATTGTGTGGATCTGTAAGTTATAGGTCAATGCTTCAGCAAATTTTCAGCATTTGATGGTGTAATCTGACCTTAGATACTTAGCTCCAGTCAGGTTCTGTTTGGATGATTCTGAAGCAATGGCTCTCGTCTGGTGCAAGCTTCAACTTCCAACTCCTCTCTTCTCCCTAGTCTTCTCTTCTTCTTTCTTGTTGTCTTCCCTCTTGTCTCCCCCTCTGTTCTCTTACTGTCATCTTATATGGTGTGATTATGTACTGTCCATTGACGATCATTAACCCACATCTTACCTAGCTATACCAAGGTAAACTTTACAATTGTTTCTGCTCAAGGGACCCCCCACATCTCAGCAAGCATCCTCTCTGCTTTGAAGCTATAAGTGTTTACTCTGCCAAGTAACACTGTTATCTAAACTCTGATGGACACTTCCTAGTCACCTAAAGCTGTAACAGAGGCGACTGGGATGTGGGGGTTGGCTTTGTGTTTGTACACGTTGCATTCTTTTTCTGTGCTGCCCGG